GACTAGCAAATAAAAAGTATTTATCACTGAAACACTCAAAATTCTTTTGGTAAATTTTAAATTTCAGCCTGCACACTTCAGTGGTAGAAATGTCAAAATTCACCTCTCCCTTTTGTGTGATAGGAAAAATGCATGTGTTCCCTTGAAAACAGCAACTTGTTTTATTTCTGTGAGCTTCAAGTTAATGTCACATTTGGGCAATGTGAAATATCAGTCGAAGAAAAAGAAGGTTCAAACACTACCACAAATTTGGAAACCTAAGTGTGGAAAGGATATATCTAGTCATGCATTGCTATTGCTGTCAACATCACCTGTGCTACAACTGCCTAAGAGGTTCGAAAGCAAAATACATATCCCCTTTTTTTCAGTGTTATTTCACATAAGAGAACTGTAGGGAGAGCTCCACAACTTTCCTTCATGGAGAGTGTGTATTATGTAGGGCAGCACAGAGGTAAATTAGTCCCTATAGAGTTGCTTTTCCCCATGCCATGCAGCCAGGCATGTACCAGAAGACTTTATAGTGAAGAATGGAGAGTGGTGCGACATTACTGGTTGTATAGATTTCTGCCTTGTAAGTGTGGGGTAAACCAGACAACACATAGTGATGTGCTGAGAAACAGACTGATATGCAATGCTGTCTCATCTCCAGGGTTTGGGAGAAAGCTGTGTGCTGGCTCCATTTCACACTGCAGCGTGTTATCAGAGAACTGGTGGAGTAAAACCAGCATTTCCAAACTCAATATATTTATCTTCTTTTCCACCAGATTATCACATTTTTCAGTGCTTGTGAAGTTTTTTCTTCATCTTTTCTGCTCACCTGAGGTTGTACAGTAACAGAAGAGAAAAGTTGAGTCTACTTCACCTGATGAAGAAATCAACTCTGATTGTACAGACTTCTTTAAGGAAGACATTGAGATGGAATTCTGTGGAAGGCAGTTTGAAATTCAGATTCTGGGCTACATTTGAAGAACACAGGTTGGAAAAGAGTAAGTTTGTAAACTGAATAAATACCATTCCAATTTGATGAATTTGTGTTCTGAAAGGACCGTGCACACATCAGGACTGCGAACCATGAAATCAATAGGAAGTAAGAAAGCTTAGATAGCAGGTAAAAATGTCAGTGTGTTGTTGGGTCTGAGCCAAGGTTTGACAGCATAAAGTAGTGTGCAAACACAGCACAAGACTCTTCCTCAAAGAGCTTCATGTCTAACTGTGAAGAGCAAATTATTGAGAAGTAATACAGGACTTCCCACTACCAGCTCTAGGCATCACATTTCCTATCCTATTATGTTTTAAAACTCACAATTTTAGGTTTAACAGACCCACTCAGAAGAATTCACAATTTCCTTTTAGCATGTTGATTTTCAACTAGATGTTGTTGCCTTCTGATACACATGGAATAGCAGTACAAATAAACCTTGTGTACATTTCTGTCTTTAAACACTATAAAGGGAAGTAGTTTGAAGAGGAGAATTAGAAACCCATCTTTCAGTAGTTCAGTTTCTCAGCTAGAGCTCTTCAGACAGTCCACAGTCAGTTGGCAGGACCTACAAATCTACTACAACAGTCAAATACTAAATAAAGTGTTCTTCCTCTGCATTGTAACAAAGGAAAAAAATTAGGGCCCAATCCCATTTCCAAAGAGGCCCATATTGATAAAGGCAATGGGATTATTTTATCTTTGGCTGCAGCAAAAGCAGGACAAAATTTGAAACTGTACAAAGTGAATACAAAGGACAACCTGACCACTTGTGCTGACAGTGTGCTCTCCTATGCGTGATGTGGCACATCATGTCTCTTCCTCAAAGTATTTTATAATTTGGTTGAAAGATGACTTAAGGAATCAGCTATTGGCAGCTGACCAATGGATCTCCAAGTGTTAAAAGTGTTAAAGACTTTAATGACTTGCTATACACAATGAGAGGCTGAGGCCCATCATAGTCCTACCCTTGAGCATTTGCATGATCAGAAAAGCATACAGAAGGCACCTCTATTTTTGCAATAAAAATAGAAAACATCAAGTAAGAAAAAAATCCCACCATTTTCTCTGAAGACAAATTAAAATTTGACCCACAGGTTGCCATGGATACAAAAGTCAGTTTACTCTAGCAGTGCTTTCTAGCAACTAAACACTTGTGATTAAGGAGAAAACACATTTATGTTTATTATGTTCCATTAGGTTTATATAATTAGTTTTTTTCAATTGCAAGCCTCTACTGATGACTGTTTTCTCAGCTGTTCAGAAAAACCTTGCAGCATGATGAAACCATTGTTAGAACTGCCTTTCCTGCCGTGGCTTCTCCACAGTCATTTGTGAACAAATGACTACTAGCACTCATTATTATGACTTTTACAATCCAGAATCCTTATTTCAGGTTATAGCAATCCAACCAGTAGCTTACATGAACGACTATGAGTTAGACTGCTTACTACAAGATAAAATCCTAAATGTGCGGTCTTACATGGGAGCCTCTAGAGTTCTGTCTCACAGAAGTGATCTTACCCTTCTATGCACACACAACAAACTCAAAGCAATCTCTCTACTTGTGGGACAGGAAGAATAGCTACTTGTCATTTTACAGATAGGCTGAAACAGAGGATAGTTCCATCAACAAAAGCTGCACATGTGTGTATGGCAAGAGATTACACCTTTAAAAATTGTGCTGGATTAGTAGCCACCAGCCATAGCTGTCTCCTCCCAGAGCTCTTGTTCCAGAATTCTCTTTAAAAAAACAACCAACCAACCAACAAACAAAATAATAATTTTTTTTTTTAAAAAAGGTAAGCTGAAATTTTGGCATTTGTCATGCCATTCAGAGTGAAGGTAGTGGCAGTGTGCCCAACCAGCTGTTAGGGGAGCCTAGAATGAAGTGTTCAAGAGAAGCAAGAAATCACTGCTGTGTCAACCAGCAGCTACAGAAGTTCATGTGTGATTCTTCAATCTCTGAAATGGTTCCATTAATGTTTTTACTTGGAACTCATTTTCATGAGCCTTCTTTTTCTATCCTGGTCTTCAGAGCAGTCCTTCCTGTTGTTGTGTTTTACTGAAAAATAGAAAATATAGAGACATTTCAAAGTCCATGGACACACTCATAAAACCTGCATGCTGAGATGAATTCACCTGGATGAATTCAGCTCCATCCAATCACAAATCAAAAATTTACTTCAATGTTTCTAGTACAAAAAATCTGTCAGCATCTTAAAGGTACTTTTCCAGTCTTAAAAAACACTATGTGTGAAGGTCATCACAGAGCCTCGCAATTATTTGTTTAATAGGAGCTCATAGGGCTCAAGCTGGTCACTCATCGATACCAGCAAGAAAATTTCTGCAAGTCCAGTTATACCTCCAATGGCAGCTTTGCAATTTCATTGTCTTCAAATGACGATTTGTTACAGGTGAGCATATTCTGAAGACAGCAGAGTAGCATGGATGTGGTTCAAAGGGCACTCTGGCTACAGAGCTGTGATTTCTGGTGAGTGGTGAGGTGAGATGAGAGGAACTCAGTGTGATTCCCATATTACAGGCTAAGCTGGCAGAACTTGCAGGAAAAAAAAAAAAAAAGAAAGAAAGAAAAAGAAAAAGAAAAAAAAAATCAATTTGATCCATTTGTACAGAAACTTAGTAATTTTTAATATAATCAATAGGACATTTATGAGATTTTTCATTGTAGAAGAATGGCTTAAATCTCACCCCTCAAATTACCCTGGGCTTTTCTGTTTGCTTGAGGATGCATAGGAGATGGATTCTTTGCTCAGGACTTGGCTGCATGCACCATACACAATCTTAAAGCTTTAATGAAGTCATTGCATTTTAAAAATATCTGAATAGAACATAAGATTAAACTTTTAAATACTTATACATTCCAGTTTTTATTATATTCCAGGTTGTGCTAAAGTCCTTGAAAATCATTTGAAGGACATTAATCTTCATTTTTAAAAGACAGAGATATTCACTATTATAAAACGTGTGACGTTTGTCATAGTAACAGATCTTTACAGTAACCTACACCAAACGATTGTGTATAAAAATGCAAATTATGCGTGTTATCCTCTGCCCCAATTGCATATAGCCATTCCACAGCAACTGATTCATGGCCATTTTGAAGGCACTGCTGTGAGGGTAGGCTTGATAGTCACTGTCGTTGGCGAGAAAGAAGGCAGAGAATATTTTTGTAATGAGTGTTTGTACAGTAAGCAGCACAGTGGGGTGCCAACGGTAATGATCGTAAACCTTGATCAGTGATTTCAAACACAACAGTAATGTCAGACAGCACGTTATTTGTGCATAACCAGAGATTTCAGCTGCCTTATGAAACCCGTAGATTACTCTGGGGACACTTCTGAGCCATCTGTAACTAACCCACTCAAAGCACGCTTACTTTCCCCTCCCCGTTCTCCTTGCGCCACCATATTGCTTTTCCATAAGTCACAGGAGCGCAACAAGCGTCACCGCTCAGGCGGGGCCGCCTTCAGCACCGGGCCGGACGGAGAGCTCCAGCCTGGACCGGCCCCGGGGCGGGCTCGTGCTGGGAGGCGAGGCCGCGCAATGGGAGCCGGGGCCGTGCCGGGGGCGGCGCGGCGGAGGGTCCCCTCTTCCGGCGGCGATGAGCAGAGGCGGCAGCTCCGCAGCCGGCGCTGTGGTTTTAAATGGGCGGAGCGGCGGCGGGCGGAGGGGCGGCCGGTAGGCGGTCGGCGCTGGCCCGCGGCTCCCATATAACCCCACCTCCCGGGCGAGGAGTGCCGCGGTAATTGGCTGGATGTGGTACTTGGAGATGTTGAGCTGGCTCCTTCCCCCCATGTCCCTGCACACACACAGGGGCGGGTGGTGCGGGCGGGAGCGGGAGGCAGGGCTCAGCCCCGGCGGTGGTGGAGCTCGCCCATCCGCCTGCCTGCCCGCCGCCGTGCCTGAGCCGCTCTTGCTGCTGGGCTGCTGCCTGCGGCCGCAGGACCCGGCCGAACCGGCCCGAGGGGAGCGCGGGCGGCTGCTGGCGGCTGCCGAGATGATGGCGGAGGGCGGCGGCGGGCCGGCGCGGCGGAAGGCGCTGTCGCTGCTGGAGGCGGCCCGCTCCCGCTACGAGAGCCTGCAGATCTCAGACGACGTCTTCGGGGAGTCGGGCCAGGACAGCAGCGGGAACCCGTTCTACAGCACCTCGGCCGACTCCCGCTCCGCCGCCTCTTCCCAGGACGAGGAGGAAGACGAGGAGGGCGAGGGGCGCCCGGAGGGGCCGTGCCCGCGGAGCAGGGCGGCGCGGCGTCGCGTCCCCAGGCCGGCGGCGGCCCCGGCGGAGCGGCGGCGGCAGCAGCAGCAACGGCAAGCCGGCGGCGGAGGCGGCGCGGTGCCGGGCGGCCCGGGCCCGATGGAGGAGGGGGAGGAGGAGGAGGACGCGGAGACGGGCGGCTGGACGCGGTCTCTGCGAGACGTCCCGCCGCCTCGCTTCAAGGATAGCAGCGGTACGCGGGGAAACAGGGGCGGGCGGCGAGGCCTGGGCGATGGTGCGGCCGTGCCAAGCGGGCATCGGGGACGCGGGTGCCTCCCGAGGCCGGCCCGGCCGTTAGGCTGCCGTGCGGGGTGCGGGCCGCGTGCGTGCTTAGTCACAAACGTCTTTCCCCGAGGCGCAGAGCGCGGACAGCAGCAGGGTGCTGAGGGACTGCGTGCGGGCTCCTCCCGGGGCAGCGCTTGCGAAGGCCCTGCCCGCAGGTGGGGACACGCGGGGAACCGAGCGGCTGGCTCGACCTGCTGCCCGCGGAGCGGAGCGACTTCCTCTTGCGAGGCTTTTCGTGCCTCTCTCTTTCATCCTAACCGTTCTGCGTGGTGCGTGGCGGAAGTGAGATCCTGAGGGTGGTGAACCGGCAGGCGGTCGGGCAGCTCGGATCTGTGCGGGGCGACTTGCGTAGCGAGTTGCACCGCTGGGTTCCGTCAGCTGACACATCTGTCGGCAGGGCCGAGCATCCAAGTTGGCTGTGAAGGGGAAAAGCTTTGCAAAAACAGGTCGTTGGTTACAAAGGGGTGAGGCATCAAATGAAGTGCTTGTGTCTCAGAAGGGTATGCGCTGCCTGGCTCCACTGAGCTGATGGATGGCTTGTTTGCCCTAAGGTTGCTTGTCTTCACTGTTTGTTTTTTTTTTGTTTGTTTGTTTTTTTACAGCGTTTAATTAATTCACTTTGCTATTAGAATGTAAGCGCAGGTGAGTGCTTCTACACCTGGTGTAGTATGCTGGAATTTGTGCAGTGGGATGGGTAGAAACCTACCTGAGGGAGCAGCTGGGGATGAGGGAGTGAAGTGGAGCTGGCACTGAAGCTCAGAGTTCCATGGTGCTTCAGGTAGATGTGAAAAAGAAGTTGCTATTTCCCCCTAGCTCCAGAAGTCTCTAGACACTGTAATATCCTTAAATATCAAGCTGATCTGCCTCTTTAAGGAACTCTTTGATTTTTCAACTCATCAGATTGGTCTAAGATCAGATTCTGGACCACAGGTTTCATGGTGTGATGTTATTTTGGTATTAATTATCATTTAATTTCCTGTGCCTCCACTGGCTTATTTCTTCATGTCATTACTTTATAGGCAGTATACACTCTAACAAATAGAACTGGGGTTCACATTTTACTGTTGCTTTGGGAAAGAAAATTAAGTTGACCTGTTAACTCTAGAATTCAGATTTCCTTTGAAATGAAAGAGTCTGATCTGCTGTTGTCAGAAATAGATGCAGAAGCCTCTTGAGATAGGCATATGGATATTACTGTGAATATTTCCTCCTAGTAATAGATGGTGTAGAGTTTGCTGCTGCCCTTTCATTCTGTTGATCTTAATGATGATAATAGATGCTGCATGCTGTTCGTAGCATGGTGATTTGGTTTGGCAAAAGTTCAAATAGTGTAGTGCTTTGATGCGTCTGAAGCATGTACACTCTGATTATTTATTTATTGACTACTCTAATTCCAGACTACAGAAACTACTGCATTGTACGACTAAACTCTTGTAATTCTAGTCTGTAGATCAACTGGCTTTGGTCAATGCATATCTCATAATTAGGTCCGTGCTGAGCACACTTGTACTGTCACTACTGCCACTTCATTGGACAGTGTTCTGACCCAGGAGACTGGGGCAGTACCACGGAAGAGGACGACTCAGCTGATGTGAAGAGAACTGTTGTTTCCAATGGCACCACCTCTTTCTGTACCTAATGGACAAATGTAATGAAATATACAAGAAAGAAGTGTAGGGTCAAGCATGCAGCACTAACAAATTCTTCTCAATAAAAAGTTTTGGATGAAAGAATCTTTTCTTTCCAGGTTCTGATCTTAAAAAGAAGTTTTGAATGAGATAAAATTTAAATTAGCACAAAAGCTTCTCAGTATGGTCTTCTGGCCTCAGATGATGCAATGTACTTCCATTACTATAATTCCGAGATTTCAGCCAGAAAATAAATGTATTTAAGAAATGAAGTCTCATGAAACATCAGCTATATTGATTCCAGAAATAAATCTTTGAGTCAGACTAGGATCAAACTAGTGTCAAGCTGTTTGGTTTGGGAGACAGCCCCATTAGGAAAGGGAAGGTATGGAACAGAAAGGATTTAAAGTTTCTTAATAAGAATGAGCTAAAGCTATCAAGAGAAAAGTAGCCATTTATGATACTCTTTTGGTCTTTTTAACCAGAGGCAGAAAGTCCTATTGCTTTACCTTTTTCCTTCTCTAAAAAATAATTACTTAATGCCTTTCCCTTCCCAGCCTCAATGTATTAACAAAGTGTTGTACTTATCCCTAGAATTAGTCTCTAGAGTTATCAGGCTTACTGTATTTCTGAGATGAAATATCAGTTGAGGTCCAGATGCTGTGGGGGCTGCTGGCAGTGTGAGATGTTTCAGTTCAGTATGCCCTCAGTCTGGACTCAAGTAGCTATGTGTACTCATGAGGATGCCTGCCTTGCCCACGTACTGCATTCTGATGGACTGGGAAGGAGCTGTATCAGCTTTGGGTGCTGAAAGAGAAGTGACTGGAGAGAATTACTGCGCAACACTCAATTATAGGCTGTTAATATCCCTGACTTGTTTTCTGCTCCTTTTTCAGGCATTTTCAGTTACTAGGTTGTTTTTTTTTTTTTTTCTGTTCAATTTAATAAAAATAGTGGGTGCTTAGTGTCTTTTTTGTGCTAGGTTTGGATATAAGGAAAAAATTCTTTTCTGAAAGAGTAGTCAAGCATTGGAATAGGCTGCCCAGGGAGATGGTTCCTGGAGCCGTTCAACAAATGTGTGAATGTGGCATGGAGGGGCGTGGTAGGTGAGCATGATGGAGGATGGGCTGGCGGTTGGCTAGATTTTAGAGGCCTTTTCCAACCTTAATGATTCTGCGAAAGAAATATCACAAACATGAATAGCTTCGTCAGACTTCCTTTGTGGGAATCCAAGGTAGCTGTTAACTCTAACGCTGAGGTTAGAACAGATGGTTTTCTGGCTCTTGGTGTTACTTTCAGTTAAGCTATTCTGCAAAATCATTCTCTTTAGTTGCTGTGAAAAATACAGGCCATACTGTGGTGCCCTGATTTTTGGACTGATAAATAGTAGCACTATGCATCTCTGATCAAAATAAGTTGAGGAAACAAGGGACCTCAATTGCTTGCCATAAATTTCAAAGTAATGATGTGAGTACTGTGATATAAGGTGTATAGGAGGTGCTGAAATTCTTTCCCTTGAGAAAGAGTGCATGGCTCCAGCAAGTCTGTGGGTAGCTCAATATGTGTATTTAAAAGGATGACGACATTCTTGAGGAAATGTTGGATCTCAGCATGTTTTGTTATATCCCTTCTCACTGTCTTGAAGAGAGAACTTCCCATTTTCTCCAAACCTTACTGTGAAGGGAAGGTAAAAATTGATTTGTTTGGAAGTGGACCTACAGAGAGGGAGAAAGAGGCTTCCAGGAAAGGAGATCTGACCTCTGCCCAGACACTACTTTCCTTTTGGAAGGAAGGATGGATGGATTTTCTGTCTTCCCTTCCTGTGAGAGTAGGACTGAGTGAGCTGGGAAAGTGCTACTACAATAGGGGAAGTATAACTGAAATGTGGGGAAAGCAACTATTACTACTTCAGTTGTGGGCTAGTGAATGCTAGAAACTCAATGTAAAACCTTGATTTCTGGTTCCTCCTGCCTTAAACTTATTTTAACGTGTGTGCTGTTTCTTCACAGAATACCCTGGGTTGGAAGGGAATGAGAAAGATCATTCAGTGTAATTTTTGGCTCCACATAAGACCACACAAAGTTCAAATCCTATTTATAACAGCATTGTCCAAATGCATCTTGAGCTCCAGCAGGCTTGCTGCCATCACCCTGGATCACCACTGACTAAAGTTACCTCTCCCTAACAGGAGCTGTATTGATAGTGCTCTTCTCTGTAGCCCTGAAAGCCACAGAGTGAACATCCTTCAGTGATAAGAAAGTATAGAGGTGAAGAGAGTTGGGTGGCTCTGAGTAGTGCTTTCCTCTGTTTGCCTAGTAATTTGACCAGGAAATTTTCTATAAAGCATGGGCACTATTGCTTTTGGTCTTTCTTCTTGGACGTCCTAAAAATAGGAATATTCTTGTATTAATGCATCTCAATGTTCCTGAATTGGGCAGCTGATACTGTGTCCCTAGAGTTTAATGCTCCCCCTATTTATATATCCAGTGACTAGAAAATTGGTTCTTAGATGTAAAAGCCATCCTGTTGTTAGAGATCATGTTTTAGGATGACAGCAGTAGCAGGGAAGTTTGATTAAAAATTATTGCTGAAGTCCTCAAAGTTACAATCAATCAGTGCTACTGTTTTCTTCATTTTTGTGTTCTCGGAAATCTGTTCTTAGACCTAAAACCAAGGACAAAATGTAAGGGCTGTTCCTTACTGACAGTTTGAGACAGCTCCTCCTCAGCAGGTTGCGTTTGGAGAGCATAGCTAGCTTTTTATGGGCTTTCAGAGTATATGTCAGACACAAAATGTGCTGTGAGATATCTTTGGAGAATTCAGTCCAGTAGAACAGCTTGCACTCAAGAAGTTGCATAGTCCATGTCTGGCAGTCAGGCTCCCCTTGTTACCTAGAAGAGGTTTAAATGAATATTTGAAGTAATTTTTAATATACTTCTTAGGAGACTAATTTTTTCCAAAGGGCTACGTGATGGGAAATAGTCATTTATTCCATGATGGCTAGCACATGAGAGAACATCTGCTCAAGGGAGGTTGCATTGATGAAATAGCCTGCATACAGGGTAATAGCATGTTCCAGCTACTGTCAGAGAAGCAAGGGATAGCTCTAAATTGAAGTAGTGAACTGTCTACTTCATGCATCTTCTGGGAGCCAACTAGATATAGCTTCATCTGCAACAGCTTCTGAATAAAAGTCTCTAGTACTTGGTTTGAGTGGTATTTTCTTTCCAGTACTAGTAGTAGGCAAGTGATCTGTTTTCACAAACTTCTCTTTAATCTT